ACAACCATGGAATTACTTTTGATTTAAAAAAGTAGTACGATACGTACAAAAAGGTTTAATTATACTATCTTGCTTTTATGTTTATTCTTAAAATGGAAATTCGGAATTTAGCGCCTCGGAGTTTAGTATCCGGTATTACAAAAGCACGTGTGATGTCATTTTTTTTTTTTGAAAACTTTAAAAAACCGTTCCTTTTTTTTTTCAAGCTTAATAATCAAAAATTGTTTTTTTTTTTTGTTTGTTTGAAAAATAAGAAATTGAAATGACCAGATATATGACTCGTTCTTTAACAAGAAAGTTAAATAAAGTTGAAAGAAAATATTTGAAATCCGCCGAAGGAACTGGCTTTAATGAACAAGATAACTTTAATAACGAAGACGAAAGAAAAGCATTTAGACGATATTTAAAATCAGCACAAAATGGGAACGCCGCAGGACAAAACATTGTTGGTCAATGTTATAAAAATGGAACAGGAGTTGTTAAAGATGAAAAGAAAGCGTTTAGATGGTATTTAAAATCGGCTAAAAATGGAGATTCTCAAGGTCAATATAATCTTGGTTGGTGTTATGAAAACGGTGTAGGAATTACTAAAAATAAAAAGAAAGCATTTGAATGGTATTTCAAATCAACAGAAGGTGGTAATTCTCATGGTCAGTTTAGTGTTGGATATTATTATGAAAAAGGTATATGCGTTGATAAAGATGAAAAGAAAGCGTTTGAATGGTATTTAAAATCGGCGGAAGGAGGCAACCCCAGTGGACAATGTAATATTGGATATTGTTATGAAAAGGGAATATACGTTGCTAGAGATGAAAAAAAGACATTTGAATGGTATTTAAAATCAGCAGAAGGGGGAAATTCTCAAGGACAATGTAATCTAGGATATTGTTATGAAAAAGGCATGCACGTTGCTAGGGATGAGAAGAAAGCGTTTGAATGGTATTTGAAATCAGCCGAAAGTGGGAATTCTAATGGACAATGTAATCTTGGATATTGTTATGAAAAAGGGATATATGTTGCCAGAAATGAAAATAAAACATTTGAATGGTTTGCGAAATCAGTTGAAGGAGGTAGCGTATTGGGACAAAATAATCTTGGAGTATGTTATGAAAATGGTATAGGAGTAGCAAAAGATGAAAAAAAAGCGTTTGAATTATATCTTAAATCAGCAGAAAGTGGAAATTCAGTTGGGCAAAATAATGTCGGTTTATGCTATCAAAATGGTATAGGGGTACGATATGATAGAGAAAAAGCATTTGATTGGTATTTGAAATCAGCGGTGAGAGGGAATCCTAAAGGACAATGTAATCTTGGGAGGTGTTACCAAAAAGGTATTGGCATTAACGTAGATGAAGAGAAGGCATTTTATTGGTTTTCACAATCTATAGAAAATAATTTCAATGAGTAAATATTAGTAAAGCATAAATTAGACGTAGATACTGTATTAAATTGATTAAAAATATTTTTAGAAATATTTATCCTTTCAACGACACAATATCAGATATCTCTTTTTATCCGAATTTTCGGTAACAAATAGTAGGTAGTACGTGTGATCATATATATTTCTTACGTAGAAATATTATATATATATAATATATATATTTAATTGTAAACTTGATCAATGTGTTAGTTTATCGAATTTTATTTATTTGAAGATCGGTATAACCAACCAATGTAATTATTTTATATTTTTAATTCGTTATAACAGTTCGACATATAAGTCTGATATAGAGATAGTTAACTGCATACGTATTAAATTTTATTAAAATTTTGTTAAATATTTATATACTGTATATAATATATATATGATTAATTATAGAGCAAATTTGCATTTAAATGAAAATTTGTATTTATAAAATATTAAAAATTTGCTACCCATCGTCGTCCAAATTTCAAACTATTGAGAGAAAGTTCAAAGTCAATTGTGGTCGCGATCGTTAAGTATCCCACTGACCATAGTATTCCTCTGTTATAATGCTATAATAACCCATGAACAAGACCTGGACATAACTCATGGGTTCGTGATTCAGAAAGAATTGAAAAAGAACCGGGTATTATTCAAGGTAGACTCCTGCTATAGTACCTTAACCATAATTATAAATACTTGGAACAATAAAATTTGGTAGCAATGGCGTACGGCTGTTTATGTACGTACGTACGTACGTACATGCATACTAAAATCTCTATGAAATCACATTGCTCATTGAAAATCCTTAAACGAAGTAGTGGTGTTGTGGTGGAAAAGAATTTAATATTATCGCAGGATTAAAATCTGGATTATTTTTTGTGTGTATATGTATGAAATATTATTCTAAATAGAGTTGTCCTAGACTGCACAAACCACGATGATAGTAAAATCCCGATCCGGCTAGGTCATTTAAGAAATAGTTATACGACCTACATTTACTATTAAAAAGAAAATTAATATGTTATACTGTATATTATACCGACATATCTTTTTATTCTCACATACAAGACTGCGGTGAAATTTATTAACTTTTATGGTAGTTCAGTATATAAAGTGCTATTAGCTCTTAAGAAAAAACAATAATTTTTATATCATTGGTTCGTTAAAAAAAAATTGACAGCACTATTATTTTATTGGATGAGTCATTATGATCGCATGACGGGGGATTTTACGTGTTATTAATCAATCACAATTTTTATAATTTTATTTTTTTTCTTATTAGTTACCTATTTTCCCGAGTTTTCAACCCGAAAATTTTGAAAGACAAAGAAATGTGATAGAAATGATTAGTATATATATATCTTAATAAAATTTTATCGATATTTTTTTGTAAGGAGAGCAAACTCAAAAAAGGGGTCTTACATATTATTCGTTGTTATATTAAATTACTAAAAAGAAAGAAGCGCTAAACTTTTGTAGCTCTATGAATTATTCATTGCTATATAGATAAATTAAAATCAGGTGACCAAAATAAGGTATGTACATACGTACGTACGTACTAAAAGGCTTTAGCGTACCTCCAAAAAGAGATCTAGCTCCGTGTTTAGGTTTGACTTTTCTATGCGAGTGAAATTGGAGGGAAAATCGGATCATCGTGAAAATTTATTAGGTTTATAAGCGACAAACTCAAACAAATTCGGGGAATTTTTTTATGCACCACTCTCAATGTTATCGACAGATAGAATAATTAAAATTTGGATAAGTGAAAAAATTATGCAAATTAAGGAGGCACAGACCATATTTTTTTTATAGTTATGCCGATTGGCTAAAATTTTAAATATTGACAAAAAAATAATCAAATAGATTGCCAAGTCTATCGCCACTTGTGTTATAAGTTCTCAACAGAGATCGCCATCATTATCTTAATTGACTAACTAACAGAAAAATTTATTAGCCGAATGAATTAATTAGTTAAGATGTACTATTTGTTTTTTTGCATAAACCTACTGTAGTCTAACGGTTTCTTATATCTGAAACATTTTATCTTATAATAATTACTTTACGTTAATATCAGATTTAATAATTACAGAAAACAGAAATAATGGATTTATTGGGTTATTATTTTCTAATACTCTCCTGTAATTAATATTAATATTAATCAATCATCGGTTAAATTAAAATCCATATTGTGGAATTTTTTAACGAAACTAATCAAATTAATTCTATTGTGTAAGTCGATTTTATATGTTTATACGAGGCGCGATTTCTATATCAACCCACCATAATAAGGTAATATGTATAATAGGGGGTTTCAAAGTTAAAACGCGGAAATCTAATTTTAATTGAAAATGATGACGTATTTATTTTGAAATAAGTGATCCATCTTATCTTCAATTTGAAAATGAAAGTGTTACTTTTTATTTATTTTTTTTACAAAATATTATAAGTATTATAAGTATCATAAGTATCATAAGTATTGTAAAAATTTTCCCATTTTAAAATCTTGAATTCAAAATCTCATTTAATTTCAAAATGCATCACTTATTTGTTAACTTTGAAACCCCCTAACGCTAATATTTGGTTTTAACTTGATTAGTAAGCTGTATTTATTGTTAGTGAACATTACAATTCTATATGCAGTAAATTAATGAATTACGATTTTTTTAATCTTTAAATAAGATATCCTATTTCGTATATCATGATATTGGGTATAGAAATATCAATACTCATTAATATTCTAAAAACTAGTAAACAAAAACTATTTGTGTAATCAATCCGATTTTCGACTAATAATAACCTTTATATATTCAAATATGGACTTTCATTATTAATATGGACAGCAAATTAAATTAAGATTTTTTATTATATTTCAAATTATTATTGGTTTGTCTTTAACAAATATTTGTAAATACTCGAATGTAACTAGCATCATTTTACAATTTTAGCATTTCTGATAAACAATAAACAATATATTGATACGCAGCAAAGTTATAACATTATGTACAGTACATACAATAGGTACGTATGTACGTACGTAGAATTATTAATGAAAGTATAGGTTTTTTATACATATAAAAATATACTTTTAAAAAAAAATTATAATTTTTGTACTTTAAGTGCAGCCTTTGTTAACAGGTTTTAGAGAAAGATTTGACTTTTTTCAATCTGAATATTAGACGTAAAATATATCGATATAGTATTAACGTTAATTGCAAAAATTTATAATAAAAAAAAACAATAATTAAAATACGTACGTACAGTACATACAGCACAGAACAGTACATATGTACGTACGTACGTGTGTACCTACGTACTGTATGTACTATTAATTAAAATAAAGTTTCAGTTTATTTATTAAATACCATTAATTGTATATAAATATATTTACACTAAAATATATCAGATATATAATATATATCTTACATAAAGTATACATACGTATAATAATTCTCTGTGTCAAAAAAGTGTTAGGATATATAATATATATAGTTAAATTTATATTACACCAAATACGTAATAAACAGAAAAAGATTAGTACAGTAGATAATATTGATAATCTATCACTATTGTCTTATTATAAAAACAATTAGCAATGCGCAGGTCGAGTAACAATGAGTTAACAAAGAAACTCGAGAGTTTTTCTGTATCCTGTAAGTTTAGGAATTTTTTGAAACCTTTAAAATTTCACCTGATATATGCAGTTTTTTTTTTTTCTTAGCAAATAATTTCTTATTAATTTTATATTGGTCACATTTTTATATATATATATTTTACAGTTTTATATGCATCCAATACTTTTTTCTTTTAATCGCGACATATTACTATTTATAATTTTGTGTATCACATTGCATAACTCTTTGCCATCTTGTTACAATTTTTCATTTCTTCATTTGCATTACATATTTGTTATAACTAAATAAAGATTTTCAAATAAGAACTAAGAATTTATGGCTTAATGTTTGGGTTTTTGATACCTTATCACGTACTGTACATTTCTTGTATTTTTAAAGGCTTACTTTGAAAGGAAATTCAAGAAGAGTCATGAAACCAAAAATGTTGGCTTACTTCCTGAATTCTTATTCCGATAAAACAATAATTTTTTTGTAAATTAAACCGAAAAAATTTCCCTCTAAATCAATTTTTATGTTTCACGTGTAAATGTTAATAAAAAAGGAAAAAAATAAAATTTTGTTATCCGAGTATCTCTTTTGTCAAATATGTCCGATTTACCATTTATATTTTGAAATGCAAGTTACACATGATTTGTTGTTATTGTACTCTATTAATACGTAATGTACTGCTTACTTATTTTTAGAACACACTTCCATTTTTCTTTTCGAACTCTCTCATGATGCTCTTTATGAACTATTACTTATGACTTACAATTATATAAGTTATATAATATCACCATATAATTATTTCCAATTATTAACTTTATCGTTATACAAACTTTGTGTATTTATTCAAAAAAACTGGTTTATAATTATAGATGATATCCTAACAATCAGCGGTTATTGACCTACGTACTCACATTTTATTCTGAAATATTTATGGTCCTTCGTCTTGGTCACGCGGGTTCAATATATTTTTTTTCTCTTTCGTTTTAATCAAAAGACTAAAAGAAAAGTACTTTTTTTTTTTTTTTTTATCATTAAAAATTTTGAAAATTTTAATTTATTCATTATTTTGAATATATATTTGTATATATATCCTTTAGACATTACCTGTTTTTTTTTTTTTTGTAAACGTTTTTTCTTTTATTTTTATTATTATATATATTTTTTTTAACGTTTTGTAAATATCATTATATCAATCAATCATTATTTATAAATATAAAATTTCATCGATTACAGATAAACTTCTTTTCTTCTTTGCTTATTTTTACAAAAAAAATTATATTAAAAATATTATTATAAAAAAAAAAAAAAAAATGTCACTCGAATCAGGTGGCCAAAACAAATCGATAAACGAAAATTTAACAAAAGAAACTTCCACTTCAACCCTTCAAGATACTATTATAACATCAACACCTATAGTTCAACAATCACCAACAACACCAACTACTACTACTACTACTACTACTATATTTCATAAATCACCGGTAATAATATCACAAAAATCTCAAGCTCCTAATTCTCGTATACCAACTTTTAAAAATGTTCAACCAAAAACTACGTCATCAACGGTTATCAAATCATCTGTTAAAAAAGATGATTCAAAAGATTCTTATGATAATTATGAGAAGGAAACTCAAAACACATTAGAATTTTCTGAAAATGTTCAAAAAAATAATTTAAATGACTTGGGTGGTGATGTATCAAATTTAAGTCATATAAATGGTGGTATTTTAAATTTAAGTGAATCTAGTGGTATTGTATCGAGTGCGGGTAATTCTGCTGGTGTTGATATAGGGACAAGTGGTTCAACTTCTTCAACTACTTCTACATCTGGAACAACTACTTCTATTTCTTCTCCTTTTTCTCCTATACCTGAAAATCCTTCCGATTCTCCTTTAATTGGAACTTCTGATACTTCAAAAAAATCTCGTAACACCTTTCAATTCCAATCACAAAGTGTGGGTTTAACTCCTGGTCACTTAAGAAGATGGCATAGTAGTCATTCTGGACTTCATCATAATAAAAGTACTACTTTTGGAAAGGATTCTGAAAATGATGATATTAGAACTATATATGAACGTTGGAAATTAGTTAGGCCTAAAGATGATTTAATTTTTGACCAGTTTAGTTCATGTGTTGATAGGTAAGCTTATGCGTGATGTACTATATTATACTACATTATACTACATTATGCTACATTAATATTACATTATGGTGCATTTTTATTAAATAATTCTGTTTTTATAGATATGGTTTTATAACGTCTTCAGACGGAAAGAGCCCTGCCCCTCCTTTATCGTCTCATGAATTAAGGTTATCTATTACTATACTTGATTATTATCTTGATTATCCAAATAAATTAGTTAATTAATTTATTTTATTCATTTTTATTTATAAAAGACTTGAAAAAAAAGAAGTTGAAAGATCACTAAAATGGGCTTCATGGGTATCCTCAAATAAATTCGTTAAAAAATCTGGAAAATTTGGCTGTAGTAGTTATGTCTTTCCGTGGGATAAAAAGGTAATTAGTTATGCAAGTGAAATATATCATACTTCATTTATATTAGAATATTGTCATCATTACTTTTATCATTATTATTTATTATTATTGCTAGTTTTATAGACGGGTCTATAAAGGGATCCCCGATTCTTGGAGGCATCCTGTTTGGTAACTAATTATAATTGTAACTAATTATAATTGTAGCTAATTATAATTGTAGCTAATTATAATTGTAACTAATTATAATTGTAACTAATTATAATTGTAACTAATTATAATTGTAACTAATTATAATTGTAACTAATTATAATTG